AGGGAAATGAAGAAAATAAAACATCCATAGTCCTGCTACCTAGAGATGCTGAAAAATGTCATTAGTGATTATTTCCTTTTGGACTTTCTCTACGCACAGTGATAATATATTTATAGTTTGAGTCATACCATGTTTATTGTTCTTTTTAAAAAAAATATTTATTTATTTATTTATTTATTTGGCTGTGTCGGGTCTTCCTTGCGGCATGTGGGATCTGCTCGTTGCAGCGTGCAGGCTCTTTGCTGCGGTGCGGGCTTCTCTCTAGTTGTGGCCTGTGCGTTTTCTCTTCTCTAGTTGTGGCACGTGGGCTCTATGGTTTGCGGTACGTGGGCTCTAGTTGAGGCACATGAGCTCAGTAGTTGTGGCGCGCGCAGGCTTAGTTGCCCCGCAGCATGTGGGATCTTAGTTCCCTGACCAGAGATCGAACCCGCCTCCTCTGCATTGGAATGCAGATTCTTTACCACTGGACCACCAGGGAAGTCCCTCTTCTTCTTCTTCTTTTTTTTTTTTTAAGTTAACTTTAGGCCTCAAAGATTTCCCCATCTTCTTAAATACTGAGGGGCGGGGGAGAACCACACACACACAGACAGACACACACACACACACACACACACACACACACACACACACACACACACACACACACACACACACACACACACACACACACACCCCTACATACATACATACATACATACATACAGTATTATATCATAATGATCATAATTTACCCCAAACCTTATTAGACATTGAGGTGGTTCTCAGTTTTTCACTCTTAGAATGCTACAATGGATGTCCTGGTACCTAGTTCTTTGTATTTATTCATGATTATTTTCTACAACTAAATGCCTAAAATGGACTTACCTTAGGCAAAAGAAAGGAATACCTTGAAATGAAAGCTTTTCGCAAACTGCCCTCTTAGAGAAGTTGAGTCAATTTACACTACTAGTAGTTTTAGAGTCTTTGTTTTCTTGTAGTCCTGCCACCATCACTATAATCACTTGTGTTGTTGTTTTTCTTGTCCAGGCTGACTTCAAAATTTCTGAGGAGTGCATCGCACAGTGGAAGCAAACCAACTTCATGACCAGGCTAGGGTACATCTCCTGTAAATCACTGAAAGGGGGGAACATCAGCTAGCCAACCTGGTGTCTTCCTCCCTTCTCTCATCATCCTGAGTCATCTGCTGTCTCCTTAATTTGCTCATCCATCATCTGCTTACCCATCTCCCAGGACACTGAAGCAGGAAGTTTGGGACTCTGTGAGGTGCAAGACTCGGTGAGGGGCAGCTCAGCCTCCCCAGGATCCAGGATCATCCTGTCTGGCTGCAGGGAAAGGCTGACCTCCCAGATAGTGATGAGCACGGGACAATGCAGGGAGTGCAGCCCTACCTTCTTCCCTTGGCAGCTGACCTGACAAATCTGGTTTCAATATGACGTTAACTCAGAAAAAGTTTATGCCATAATCCTTGTAACTGGAAAAATATTGGTTTCCAGTTTTCTTAGCGTTATCCCAGCAGCTATGCCCCTGGCTGGGATCTGGTGCCTGAACTGGGCTAATTACAGCCTCTCCCCAACAGGAAACTGTGGCATTTGAAAAGGGAAGGGAAGGGAAAACAGAGAACCTAGTGGTCTACCAAGTGGTTGGCACCTCTCCCAAATGCCTGCCAACCCTGAGGCTTGTTGCTGGGGGCAGAGCCTGCCCCAGGACTCCTGGATTGCCCTCTGATCCTGCTGGGGGGACACTCCCTAAACCAGCTGTGTGTTAGTGGATGGCACAGCCTGGTTCTTTCTGCAGGGAGGGTGCGGTACTTCTCCATAAGGCATCTCAATCAGAACCGCTAAGCATCATTGTCATAAATTCAAATAAAATGTCTGAACAAGGGTGTCTGGACGGGACCTGTCTGTGAGCTGCACCATCTCAGGAAAGGAGAACACAGTGTGTAGCAGCTTCTGGGCCCCTCACCCAGCCTCGGGCTGTTTGTATCTTGGACTTTTGACCCTGTAATGGGAGCGGGGGTGGACTAGGCTGGATGGCAGACACCTTGACTTCCCCTTTAGCAGTGTTAAAAAGAAGAGGCTCACTTTAGGTCCAGAATACTGTCCCTTCTAAATGTGGGCCCAGACCACGACCTTGACCCACCCCATTAAGAAGCAGCAGCCACAGCCAAGTTTTAATCATTTAATTAATTAACATCTTCGAATGAAACCCACAGAGAGCTTTTTCCATGTGTATCACTCCAGCTTCAGAGCAGAGGGAATAGATTGTTTGTATAGACATATCAAAGACTCAGAAACTTAAAGAAATATATATATATATATATATGTGTGTGTGTATATACATATATATATATATGTACACACACACACACACACACACCTCTAACATTTTTATGGAAATTAAAAATCAGAGGCTTTTGGTCTCTCCATGTGCACTAGGTCAAGCTCATTTACCCAAGAGGACAAAAGGATTTTTGCCTCTTGGAGATCCTCCCTTCTCCTTTCTACTCTGTTCCACCCAGTGGGGAAACAAGCTCAGAGGAATCTAACTGAAGACAAGGGGCTCCAGTAACATAGGGAGGGGAGGGAAAGAAACACAGAAGGTGGGATCCCTCCTACCTCCAGCAGCTCTGAGGCTACTGCCAGGGCCTGGTGTCATGGAAGCTTTGGCCTGGTCCTGGTTCCTGGTTCCCGGTTCCCGGGGGGTTGAATCAGGAGCTCTGAGCAGAGGAGGGCTTACTGACTGTCCTCTTTCCCCAACTCACTGGGCAGGCACAACACATACCCAGCAGCAGCTCTCCATTACCCAAAGGGCAGGGAAGAACATTGGTTTATAGCTACAGAGAGAAGAGAATCGTGAGAGAGGGCCATAGGAACCTGGGATCTCAGACCACATCCCCTGTGCTCCCAGCTCTTTTTCTGGGAGGGGGTCAACCTCTCTCCTCGGTGGAGGAAAAGCAGCTAAAAGCAAGGTCCCTTGCCCGGCTTAAGCCTGAGTCACCATTGAGGAAAGAGGATCAAGACAGAAGGGGTGACCTGGTGACAGCCATGCTGCAGTGGAAGGAGGCACTAGGGCCACCCCCGTGGAGCCACCGGGGCCAGTGAGGAAACCAGCTTACCGAGATAGGTGGCACAGGTTGAAAGTGGGAAGGTCAGCAAAATTCCTGGAGGAGAGATCAGTAGCAGAGGCTGATGTCTAGGGGGGAACCACCCAGCCCGCCCCTAGGAGCGCTGAGTTCCCCCTCATTGACTAGGAAAGAGTCTGTCATAGAATGCACCTTTGGCTTCCCATCCTGTCACTCAGCGTCAGCTCTCCCCAGTGGAACCACCTGTGCTGAAAGGCAGCTGCAGAAAGGACGTGCTCAGAGCAGAGTAAAGGTCAGAGGATGAAATCCATAGGGCCGGGTCTGGGCCCACTGCCCAAATAGGCTCTTCCCTGCCAGACCCAACCCTCCATCCATGTCCTCAGGACTTCCTGTCAAGCTGACAGGAACCTAGCTTTGCCATGGCCTGCGGCTCCGGCCTCTGAAGAGTCATGCCCACCTACCCCAACCTGATCAAGTAAAACAGGGCCAAGTGCCCCATGACGTGACTCTCTACTCTGTTCTCCCACTCTCTGAGGACAGAGAGAGCCTGTGGACCTCCCCTCTGGTTCTTTCTCCCCCACCCATTTGGGCCCTGGCAGTCTCCCACTTCCTGTCCCCTGCATGGAGCACCTGGCAGAACCAGAAGGCAGGAGGCTGGTTGGTGGTAGAGGCACAGGAGGGCTAACCCCCGCTGCACCTTTTGTGCTTTGGAATTCCACAGCCCCACTCCTGCCTCCAGCCTGGAGAAGCCTGTGGGAGTACAACGACTTGCCTACCTCCAAGAACTAAGAAAAGTTGCAAACTGGATCAGAGGAAGGGGAGATTAGTCCCAGCTATAGGCTGGCTACTGGGGACTGATGCTGCTGCCATGTAAACAGGCCCCTGGAATGTGGCTTCGCGGGCCCTGGAGGATGGACATGCAGCCACTTTTCAAAAGTGCTTTGATTCTGGACTACAGCATGTGCATGATTTGGACATTTAAAAAAAAAAAAAAACCTCAAGTGAGGCGTTCTGTTCCCAATTCTGTGGCCTTGAGGCCAGCAGGGGGCACAGACACCCACTCCCACCAGCTACCTCCTTCAAGATGAGGCTAAGGCCACGACTGAAGCGGCAGCTGCCAGAGGTGAATCCATTCAGGAAAAGGCATGAGAGCCGGATGACTTGGAGGACAGGAACCACACCAGGCTTGCGTAAATATTGAAGGCCGTGGAGGTTAAGGCTGCAGGCGTCCTCCAGGTTAAGTGTCTGCCGTATCCTCTCATCCTTGGAGCCGCTCAGGTCCCTGAGATTGTATTCCTGGGATGGGTCAGCAGTGCCAGCAAGGTGCCTGGTGGTCAGACCAGCTCTTTCTGTGGGTCTGTGGAGAGAAAAGAAGGGACACTCAGCAAGGGACCCCCTAGCTTGGTTCTGACCACTAAGAGCCCAGGGCACATCCTCACCCCCTCACTTTACTGACCACGACAGCAGCACTGGGCTGGACATTTTACAAACGTTCCCTCTGCCACTATAATGTATCGTTGCCTCACACTTTACAGTGAGGAACCCGAGGCTAGGATGGGTAGATAAAATGGCAAAGTTGGAATTCAAACTTCAAATTTCAGTAGGTCTGACTCCAAAGCCCCACAATCCATGCTCCTTCAGTGCAGCTCATCAGAGGTGACAGGTCACCCTTCCCAGGCACCCCGAGACCAGAATCCAAGAGCAAATCCCTAATAGCAGAACTTCTGATACCTGTTTCCCATGACCAGTGATGGGACCCACACCCCACCCCTCCCTGCCCACCGTACCTGGGCCAGGCAGGCCCAGCTTCTCCTCTGGACCCACCCGCTGCAGCACACCTCCATTCTCTGCCAGCTCCTCCTTAGTCCTGTCCTCGGCATGGGGGAGCCCGTTGGTGGGAGGAGCAGGGAGGGGCTCAGCCCGAGGAAAGTTGGGGGAGGTGGGGGGGGCGACTCCCCCAGAAGGCTTGCGGGCCACAGGCGGGGGTGCCTTAGGTGGCTTCTTTGAGGCCTGGGGTGGCCGTTGCTCTGAGACGCTCCGAAGTTCAGCTATCAGGTTCCGCTGGAGGTCAGCCTGGGTCTCAGGGTACACGGGCCGCTCCAGCTGCAGCTTCTTGGTGCCCTTGGAGAAGATGAAGCTGGCCGTAGAGGCAGGGGACCGCGGCTCTGCCTCAGGTGGTCCATTGGGCTGGGCACTCACAGGGCCCACGCTGGCAGCCAGATTGGAGGCCTTGAGCCGAATAGCAGCGTGGAGCCCTGAGGAGGCAGGCGCTGGGCTGGCCCGCCCTGACAGGGCCCTTCGCAGTGGCTTCTGGGGGGCCGACAGCCCTGACGCTGGAGTCGGAGCCACTGTGGGAGTGCCTACAGAGCGCAGCCGAACCATCTGCAGGAGTGAGGGTGTGACCAGGGGTGCACCAGCATCCTCCCTGGGAAGGCCGCCACCCTTGCTGCAGCCCCCTGGTTCCCTCTGAGGGACCTTGGCCTGAAGCCCTGGGACAGAACCAGCAGCAGATGGGGCTGGCAGAGCTGGAGGAAGATCTGGGGTACCACAGGGCTGGCTCTGGAAAGAGAGAGTAGCTAAGGAGGGCTCCGGGGGCCGTGAAGGGTCTGCAGGCTCAGGGCCGGCCACAGAGAAAAAGGCCTCCTCGGGTGGAGGGAAGTCAGCCATGGACAGGTCCTGCTCCTCTGGTGCAGGAGGCGGGGGTGGGGGCCAGGTGGGATCTTGGAGGGCCTCCTCAGCAGTCTCCGGGGCAGACAGGGCCTCCTCAACCACCTCTGGCCTCTTAGTGGGTGGCG